GGAACGAAGTTACGGAAAGTTAATTAACAAACGGAGACGTAACAATAACTTAAATAATTTCCTTATTAATCGATTGATTAAGTGAATAGGTGCGATAACTCTCATTGAACTAAATTACTCATTGAATTAATTATCGTATTCAGGGTTGAATTGAGGGGGATTGCACCCTGTTCACAGAGGATAACAGATTATTCATTTCTTCCTTAATGTTTGCTACAAGCTACTTTCACTTGTACATGGTTGTTGGCTTAATTTCACAAGTAATGTTTTCACTTTCAACAGAAAATTATTTGCCAATGGTACTAATACGACTAACGAACAAATAAACTTACTTGTACAGTTTCACAGCTAAATGTTGGAGTAATTGAATTATGTAACACAAGCTGAGGTACCCGTTCTTTGTCCGGGTTATGAACTTAAAAAAATGTGGGGGGATATGCTATAATAAATATCACAAAAATCCTAACTTTCACACAATTTATTTATAACATAACATATTATTACAGTATTCATTACCATCTCCCCAAAAGTCCTGTACAAACTTTAAGAACTAAATATGTATGTACTTAAAACATTGTCTACACCGTGCGATGGTCAAGGTGACCTTGTAGGAAGAGGTAATGCCCAAAGTGTTGGAGATGGGTATGCTTTTCCTCACCCACTTTCAACACCCAGCTTTTAATGCTCTTCCACAGTGTTTCACGTGATTAATTAGTTAACGGTAATTAGCCGCAGAAGTGTCTTACGGACTAAAGTTGAAAGGTCACGGGTCAAAGTAGAAAGTAGGTATAACTCAAAAAACTATTCTTCATATCAGCCTTATTATGGCTGTTGGAGTAAAAAAATTCAGCTGAGTTTATGTATTATTGCAATAGTGGCGGCCATTTTATTCATTGCATTCCTCCATAGAGAGTTCTGGTGCACTCTCTAAGATATGTAAGGCGCTTGTGTGTATGTTGTATTATAGAAAATTTAATAATGTTTTTGATGTAAGGACGTGGGGCTATTTATTTATGTAGTTAACATTAACTTACGTCAAGGATAATAAATGATCAATAACAGTAATAATGGGGTGGAGGGGTTGTGAACCCCTATTAACATGCCCCTTATTCTAAACTAGACCTATTAATCTTACATCAGTTGGGGGAAAATATTTTGAAAGTCTGATAAAAGATGTTTTGCAAAGTCATTT